GTATGGAGCCGGTGACAAGGTTTTGGATGGGTTAACGGAGAAGATCTCGCTATGTACTATGTTTTACTTTTAGTACTTTGGTATTTCTACGGATTGTTAAATGCTTTGAAATCCTGATCAGGTGTAACAGTTTTAAAGACGTTTATTTTATTTTGGATACCTTTTATTATGGTTATAAGGTTGGATTATGAGTATAAGATATAAAGTTTCATGACGAGACTTTGTATCTTTATTTCCGCTTTGTGTATCGAGTCTTGTTATGTTTGAGTAGCGTAATGGCCGTGTTGGAGACGGTCGTTACATGGGGGGTATCATGCTCTACCTTTTATTGAAAAGGATTGTAGGAATTACATAGAAAAAGTTCGGAAACTTAGGCTAGGAAGTGGTGATGCAATGGCTATCCAATGTTTTTTTTTCAAAAATGCAAGCACAATGTTCCGGTTTCTTCTTTAGTGTTGATTTAGATGATAATTCATGCTTGAGAAATGTATTTTGGGTGGATAATCGAAGTAGATATGCATACAAAAGTTTTGGAGATGTCATTACCTTTGACACAACCTATCTAACTAATTGATATGACATGCCCTTTGCACCATTTATGGGAGTGAATCATCATGGCCAGTCTATGTTATTTGGATGTGGCCTAATCTCAAACGAAGATACACAAACTTCTGTTTGGCTCTTTAAAGCCTGGGTTGATCGCATGGAGGGTTGTGCTCCAAATGGTATTATAACCGATCAAGATCGCACCATGCAAAATGCAATTCATATTGTATGCACAAACGAGTTTGATATTGGCACACATAATTGATACATTTTTTCTTTCATCCAAGTGCGCATAAAAAAGGAAGCACACAAGACATTGTTGTTGTGGAGGGGTACACTCATGACAATGGTTTTGGTGTAGTCAATAATTGTATGACACTACAATACCAAGATGGTTTAGATTTAAACCTCTCTCTTTTGAAATAGTTGACATGTAAGGCTGTAACTTTTGTAAAGAGAACTCTAAAATGCACAAACATATAAGAAGTGACACAACACACTACATAACAACGGAATACAAAACTAATTACACAGACATGTTTTTCAAACACAGACATGTAATGAAAAGCATATACACAAGTCTGAAATGCAAAATATTAGGAGCTCATAATAATGAATTTGATTTTGCAGAAGTTTACCTTTGTGCCATTTCAGTCAACGATGTGCGCACTATTTCCTTCGTTAGCCCTGGATTACCGTTGAAGGCTTCCACTGCCCGATTGCGATTAACTTCAAGCCCACCCTTCAACTTCATTCACAAACGTAGTACGAGTTTCGTGTGTTGAAGCAGGCGACGGCCGGATGGATTTTCGGATGGGGTTCGTGGGTTCATGTTTAGGGCCAGACGAGATTTCGTGGGTTGCAGATGGGGTTTCGTGGGTTGAACTTCAGAGGTGGACTAATGAGTTGAGGGATGGATTTCGTGGGTTTCGTAAGTTCAACTTCGACGTTGAATTGAGAAGATGAGGGAGAGAGGAGTTCGATCGAAGAAGGGAGTGGGTAGTTCAAATGGGAGATTTGGCTGAATTTTTTGTGGGGATTCAGGAAAGAGAAGGGGCGCATTGGAGAGTGGGAAGAGAAGCAGCTGACGGGTTTTTTCGAACAACCATGCTTGATGTACACACCCTTGTACACAGCGGCGGAACCAGACAATAATTTGAGGGGGTGCTCTTATATATTTTTTTTGAAAAACAATTTTTTATTAGGATAAAATAAAAACGAGTGAAAAATAATTATTAATACATATAGAGTGAGGTTCTAATAAAAAGAGTTATTCCCGTGAAAAATGAGAACGGGCGCATTTTTTACTCGTTTTGGTACTCTAGTAAATATTTATTTTACACTTTTTCACAATGAGAGAAAATTTTGATTTATTTATCAAATTGTCACCGAGTTTTTAATAAAATATAGTGCATTGTTGACTGATTTTGACTCATCTGATCTCAAGTTAAATACACAAGATTTATTCTCGGTCAATTTTAATGATAAGAACTCTTTTTATTTGATCCGAAACTTATATATATGTATATGTAGTGTGTTTCAAATAAAAATGCTATTATACTAAACAAAAGGTAAATACTTATATTAACTTAAAGTAGTTTTAGAATTATTCTTGACATTAAATGACAACGTCCGTATATGTCATTATTAGAAGAAGAAATGATTAAAATTAATTTGAATTGAAGAAATGAGAATTTGAAATAAAAGATATACAAATTCAAAAAGTGTGATTTAAACAACATTGCATCCTAGAATGATTTAATTGAACATAAATAATTACCAAATGGGCTAAAGTCTAAAGAAGCAATAATGGAGAAAGCAAAAAAAAAATTTGCTCTTGAGAATTGAACCCGGGTCATTTAGGTAGACAGAGCTCTCCCAACCTCCACCCTACCATTTGAACTATCACAACTCATACATTCAAATAGTGAATCCACTTTAATATATGAATACTTTCTGAACCGGGGCTGAGATACACACACACACACACACACACACACACACACACACACACACACACACACACACACATATATATATATATATATATATATATATATATATATATATATATATATACAGAACCACCGCCGGAGAAGGGGGAGCGCCAGCACCGGCTCGCCCCCCTAGTTCCGCCAGTGCTTGTACACATCTTGTACACACCATGTTTGTGAAGCTTTTTTTTTGTCTGTGAACCTGGTTCACAGACAATATTTTGTTTGTGCAAAACATTGTCTATGAATCGATGTTCACAGATAAAAAAAAGCTTTCAGAGACATAGATGTGTACAAAAGTGTATATATGAATGTGTACAAACATCATTTTTGTTTTTCGAAAATGTCTACAGGTGGAGGAAGTTTGTGGGAGATTATTTCGGTAGAAAGGGGGTGAGGTGGGTTAGTTCGGTAGAGGGTTATCGTGTGTACACGGGCATGTAATCCGCCGTGTATGTAGGACATTTTTGGTGAGTTATCTAAGAAGGAAAGAAATCCGAGTGAAAAGGCAGAAAATGGGTTGAGGCGGACGTGAGTCCATAACTTGAGGTGATCGAGGGTAGGACCCACCCCCACGCTCACTTTATATACCATCGATTCACCTTTTCAATTTCTCCGCCCCTTCCGAATCAATCATGGGAAGAAAGAGGAAATCCGAAAACTCGAATCCCAAAACCAAAAAGAAAATACCGGCGGTTTCTCAGGCTGAGGCTCCTTCGTCGCCTGTGACGCCGCCTCCTCCTCCTCCGCCGTGGATCGAACTGCCCGGAGATGTGACGGCTAATATTCTGAAAAGGCTGGGGTCCAAAGAGATACTCCGGAGTGCACAGAGAGTGTGTACTACTTGGTGGAAAGTTTGCCACTATCCTTCCGTGTGGCGCGTGATCGATTTGGGCAGACCGGACGTGGCCCACAAGGATTTTCGCTTGGCTTGCCGACGAGCAGTTGATAGGAGTCAGGGGCAGTTGGTCGACCTTACCATCGAATGCTTCGCCGACGATGACCTGCTTAACTACATCGCGGATCGGTAAATATAATGCACACGAATAATTGAAGAGCGCTTCCTTCTAATTAATTGTCGTTTGATTATTATATTTTTGTTCAATTACTCATCTTTGAGGCCTTTCGTTGCATGATACGGAGTATTTATCATTTTACTTAACCCGAAACTATAAGTCATCCAAAACCCTAGCTAGTTTGGAATTGGACGGACGGTTTTGGGCAAGACAAGCTAGTCTTTGGGTCTTAGTTCATATCGTGAATCATGATGCTCCATTTTTTCCTGGAAAAGAACGATTGGTGTTGAAAACCATTATATTACTACGTATATGATTCCATTATGTTATTATTATTATTTCAAAATCTCACATTTAAATCGAAGATGTATACTTGCACTTATCAGTATAGACTTGTATTAGGGTGGTATAGCTAGGTAGATGCATTATATGGTTTGTCACTTTCCCTTGCAGCTTTGCAACCTCTCTCTATGTAGGGGTATGGTAGTCTCACACCAGACCTAATATAAATACACCAGAACAGTTCATGCCACACCAAACTAGACTTAGACAATAGTAAAATACACCAATTCAAATTAGACCAAACTTAAATAGACCATATTTAACCAGAGAAATTTCAGTCACTTTGAAAACAGCCTCATTTACAGCTTACCTTAATTCCGAAACTCTCCAAATGAACTTACTGTAAATGTATAAGCATATCCGCATGCATGTGTATATACATACTCCATCCCTTGCTTTGTAGTTAGTCATCGTTGACTTTTCCAGTCAATGGTTTTAAACTTTGATTGATAATATATTTATATATGAAAATATTTATAATATGGAAATGATTTGAAAATGTTCTATGTTAATTTCTCAAAATCTGTTTGCCTTCTATCTTTATTGTTATCTTTCTTGTTCTGTGTACATTTTGAACAGGAGGCTGGACGTCCTCTTCCCAAGTATTTGAAATCTTGTATGTTCATCTAAACACAATAGTCTAGGAAATGCAGTCTCTCACCCAATCTTTGTGGTGGTTCAACCCTTACTGGTCAATAATGAAAAATCTGTTACAATCAAATACAAAATCTTTGCTATCGGTTATCACGGGTTAAAAGTGAAAATGTTGCAACGTATTTTGTCACGTTGAAAACCGAATACAAAACGTCTGAAATTAAAAAATGTTATTTTTGCAGACTTTTTGCGAAATTAGCATAATCAGTTAGGTATGATTACTTTTTAGTTCATTGTACTAAAGTATTATTATACGTAGTATCATATACCCTTAAAAGAAAAAAAAAATACTAGTGACCAGGCTGTAAGCTGTCTACTATATAACACTTTTAGTAGCTCTTGCTTTTTGAAGTTTTTCTTTATCTTGCTTCACTTTGTTTACATCATCAGCTCTCTTATTGTTCTTGTCATTATATGGTTTGATTAATGATGTGGTAAAATTTTGACAGATCATGTAGTCTCAAACGACTTAAACTTGAATCTTGCACACAGGTGTCGGAAACTGTTTTAGCTGAAGCATTAAAAAAGTTCCCTGAGTTGGAAGAGTGTCACCTGGTCATTATGCCAACAGTTCTTGCCAAAGATGTCGAAGCTATTGGCCGTTCGTGCCCAAAGCTGATATCATTCACATACGATGACTACGGGTACAGATATTGGGATAGTGACATGGTTGACACGGGACCTGAGTGTAATGACTTTGCCCTAGCAATTGCAAAAAACATGCCCAACTTGCAGCATCTTAGCCTCTTTGCACATCGTATGACAAACGAGGGGCTTGAAGCCATTCTTCACGGTTGTGCCCACCTAAAGTCGCTAGATATACGGCAATGCTACTGTCTCAAAATGACACAGGATTTGGAAAAGAAATGCCATGAGAAGGTAAAGGATTTGAGACTCCCTTCTGATTCTATCAGTGATGTGGCTAGACTTAATGAGGATGAACCATCATATGATGACATTTGCCCGGATGTGTGTGGATGTTGTAGCGGTTCTGACTCTGATGGAGGGTTTTATTACTATCCATCACCTTAATTTCATCTACTTTAGGTACAAACTTATGTCCGCATTTTTGTTTTATTGGTCAAATATGTTCCCGTTTGGCTCATGCTGTTTTGAACTTGGAACTAGTGTTGTGTCCGGGTGTTGCCTCAGGTAATTCAATTCTTTCATATGGATTTTTTAGTTTATACGAAGTATATTGTGTGTGTGCGTATAGTGTTCCTTTCATATTAATTTTATAATTGTCATTGCCAAAAGCACCAAAATGTTTAGGGGAAAATACATACATATGAGTAAAACTTATACAAATTCCTGAAATATGACTTCTTAAGTTTCTTTACCAGCTTCTCTCAAAAAAAGTTTCTTTACGTATGACTAAGGAGAATATTTAGAGACCAAAGTATCCTCAAAAATATAAAGGCACGTAGATTTGGGAGAAAAAATAGGTTGCTTCCTTTTTTAAGGAGTACAATTAAGTCATAAATTGAGGAAAAAACATGCACGCAAGTCATATTGTGGGAAACACAAACACTTTAAATCACACGGAGGGTAAATTTCTCAAAATGTTTATTAATCGAATATGATAAGGAAATTTCTAAGGTACCTCTTAAAATTAAGAGTGTACCGTACCTCTGCTTTGCTGGACCAACAGGAGTCTGACATATGGATTATTAAAACAAGTAGACAAAAGGCTATTATTTGGCATTCGGTCCTTGTTTTGACGCTGCAACTAAACGGAGGAAACGACGGAAACAAGGAAACGATTTTAACAGCAGAAAAACGCAGCCAACAAACTCAGAAGTAACCTCCGGAGAAACGACACTGCTGGAACCGCAGGCAATAAACTCATGAAGAAGAAGCAACGTCTGGAGAAACGACACTATTGTGCTCCAAACGAACGCAAAGCAAGGTATTTTTCTTGTATTTTGCTAGCCCCGCTGAAGTTTGCCTGACCCGGAGGTGTGCCGTCGTAGTTGTCTCCTCCTGTGTTTACTGGCGGCCATATTATGGAGGTAATTTTTCCTATCTATGGATGCTCAAATTTTCAATTTCAATTCTCGTCAATTTTGATTAGGGCTAATGTAGTTGTAGGATTAGATTACATTTGATGCTCCTGTATCTTCCTCTGGCCTTGATTTAATAGTTTGATTTCATGGGTTTTTGCCTTTTTAGGCAGGATAATTTTTTGTATTGACTTTCAAAATATAAGCCCATTATAGATATGGTGGACTAAGTATAGCATATCAAAAACATGTTTCACAATGGAATAGCTTTATACCTTCAACTAAAACGGTCACATCCCAGAGTGTTTGATTATTTGCATACTGCTCGCCAAGGTACACCTGCGTAAATAACCACAAACATCAACAAATAATAAAAAAGTCACAAGAATAGGTTATTGGGAAGAAAGTAATGACACGACTTCAAAGAATAGCGTAATAATACTACATTACATACAGAACACATAAGTAAAACTTAAAACGTTAAGAAGTTGGAAACAAACTTGAGGTACTGGAGAGGGAGGGGCTGCATCAATGGAAAAAAGTGAGCTGGCTTTATCAGCTATTTTGCACAGAGCAGTAGCAGCATCCTGTTGGTGCTTCACTCTTGTGGATTCCACAAGCTCTAAAAGCAATTCCAATCCTATAAAGCATGTCAAAAGAAGAACGAAAGCATTTTTCAGGCCTATGCAAGATATTTAGAGAACTTATTACATTGAGCCCATTCAATGTATACAACATTTAAAATCTACCGTCATTGTCAAGGAAAACTGTCTTTTGATCCTCTGGGGAACAAAAGTGAGCAATGGCCTAGGCAATTCTTCTTTGGACAATCTTCTCCCCGATGGACATCAAATATAACAAATGGCTCAATACTTGGAAAAGAGGAAAGCAATGAATGACTTATTAGCCACGCAGAGTGTGAATCATGTCTCACATAGTCATTAGTGAAACACTGAAGTCTCAAAAACAATCGTGTGACCCGTGTATGAATAGAAGTGCATAGTAATGAATCAAGGAATTGAACTTACTCGGCCATTAATCTTCTCCTCTATTTTTTCAGTGTCTTATGAGCTAATAATACTACGGCACCTGGTATTTTTCAATGCTCCTCAATTCTGCTTAGGGCAAATGTTGTGGTATGTTAACTTTTTATATTAGATTAGATTTGATGCTCATGTACCTTCAATTATCAGTTTAGAACAAACTGCTTCAATTCCAGTCCATTCAAGTATAAATTTGGATGCGTACTTATTTTTGCAATTGTACAGAGACATGTTTGATGGTCATCACCCTCCATATTAGCAACATACACCAATGATAAAAAGATGCTTTATTTAACTGGTGAAACTCAATTCATCTTACCACTCCTGTTCCCTTAAAGAACTTTCAAGATTTTCCACTCATGGGCTGCTCAAAGGAGCAACTGATGACCTATTTAAAGGATCTCCAAATTGATTTTGAACAATATGAGCACCCTGTTGTATTGACTGTTCAAGCTCAGGAAAATATGTTGGACATTTGAATGATGCACTGAGTAAAAATCTGTTCTTGAAGGATAAGAAGCATAGATTTTATATTGTTTCTGCATTGGCAGACACCAGAATAGACTTGAAAATTCTAGCTCAGAGGCTCGGATTGGGAAAAGGAGGTTTGAGGATGGCCCCGGAGGATTCACTAACAGGGATACTTCAGGTATGTGTTACTCCATTCACGCTTTATAATGAATCTGCAAGGGGTGTCTATTATTAGACCAAGGGATGAGAATAAAGGAGCGTTGCTTCTTCCACCCACTTTCTAATGATGTGACCATTGCTATTAACACAAGTGATCTTGATAAGTTTCTGAGTTCAATTGGAAAGCCATCAAACTATGTTGATCTGGATGATAACCCACCAGTCGGGAAGGATCAACCTCCTGATCTTGCTAATGTTGTTCCATCTGATGTCCCGACACTGCCTGATAATATGGAGAAGTCAGCTACCTCAGTGGTTCCTGAGAAGAAGGATCATGTTGCTGCCGATATAAAAGCAGAGGTTAAACCAAAAAATGCTCAACCCTACTACATATAGTCATTAGTCACATTCTTGTAAACCACATTTATTTTACTCATCTATAAGTAATTACTCCATATTTTTTAATTTAATACGTAGTAATAAAAATTATTCTAAATATAATTTTTCCATAATATAGCAGATTAAGACAATATTTTAAATACTATCCTCCGTTCCATAAAAGTTGCAACAGTTTGACTTTCACGTTTGCCAACGTGCAACTTTGACTGTAATTATATTTATTTACATATTAGTAAACATTAAAAAAAGTTAATATATTGGAAATTTACACTAATACAAATTTATTAATATTTTATACGTAATATTTTTATTATATATATTATTAGAAAATCGTAGTCAAAGTAAGGTGTGTGAATAGTGCAGAAATTTCAATGTTGCAACTTTTATAGAACGGAGGAAGTATATTTTTTCTATAATTTGACCGATTAAGCCATAACTTCATAAATATTAGCACATTCGGTTGATTTAGCTAATTTAAGTGTTATCAAACGAGTTCTATTTAGAATATTGAGTAAAATGATATATTATTAATTTAGGGACCTAAATGATATGGTGAGATTGGTGATAGACAATTTAATGACCATTTGTACATTTTTTTTCCTTCCCAAAAGTTTATTCGTTCTTTGTTATGAATAATACGGATTTCAGTATCATTTAAGTTGTTAAATTACCAAGTAGAAGTCTATGTAGGGAGTCATTAGACTCATTACGTGTTGAACTTAATTAGGTCTGGAGGTAATTAGCTTAGTAAAGACTCAGTCGACGCCTTCTGGGAATAACGCCCCAGTATGCACGTTTGCCACTTTTTAGGACTCCATTTTCCAGCTTCTCAGGCCGATTATATATCTGAAATACAGCATGTACAAACCGTCAACCTTCGGCAATGGCAAGACATCCTAAGGGGAGGAAACTATGCAGCCTAAAAAGAAAACAACGAAGCAAGGCAGATATTCCCATCTCTATTTCTGGAAATGGGAACCGCTCAAGCAACGGAGATTTCATCCGTAGAAGATCTCAACAAGTCATGTGTAGCCAGAAACTACATTCACTTAAAGAAATAATAGATATTTCTTCCAGGTAAAATTCATAATCGATTCCAGTTCCTAGTTTTTACATAATAAAATGCTTATTCATTGATTATGCTTTATTTTACCTTGTTGTTTTGTGATTTTAATTAAACTGAAGTTGTCCCAAAAGCCCGATCAAGAATCTCTGCCCTGCCAAGAAACTTGAGGAAGATGAAGTGGATAGCCCCTCACAAGCATCAACACCAATTGAGTCTATCAATGGGTTCAATGACATTAAAGCTGCATTTAGTAACATGGTCAACACGATCATCACCCACAATCCCAACCTTTGTTTTGACATAAGTCCTTCTAGTCTTCCTGTTTTAACCACCAACTAACAATATGAACTTTAATGTTTTTTTATACAAGTAACGATTGTGGGGTGTGGGTTGCTAAGTGGATGATTGAATGCTCATTCAGTGATGACTATGAAAAAGTGTTTGTAAGCACGTTAGATTATCCTTTTGATTTTTACTGAAAAAATCAATATAATCACTGATGTATACGTGAGAGTGTTTGTATGTATGTATCATTAACATTGGTTATTTATTATATAGGTTGGACCCGATTCAAGGATGCAGATTGCTCTTGATTTGATTAGCCATCCTTTCAATGAATTGAAAGCAAGTGTTGAAGAAAAGGCAATTCAACATTGGATTGAGCTTAAGAGGAAGAATGGGATTGTTGGTCTCTAATTCTTACTTTGATGCACTTTAGCTTAAGTACTTTAGCTTAACTTTGAATTTCTAGGAGTTTTTTCTAATTTGTGGCAGTGGAACACTTTCGAATTCATAGTTTGAGTATTTAATGATTTCGTTTGTATGAAACTTATATTCATCTGTAATTGGTCTATGATATTGGCATTCATTCGTTTGACTGAGTTAAAGCTAACTTATGATAGCAGTAAGGAGGCTTGGTGTGTTGTTATTATGTTGTGTTGGAGCATTTGGCAGGAAAGAAACTCTAGGGTCTGGAAGGAAACTCAGGTGGAGAATGTTCAACTGGAAGCAAGGGTTTTTACCTCTCTGGAAGCTTGGAGAACAGCCCAGTACATGAGGAGAGAACTGCTGGTGCAGCACGGGTGCAGGGCTATAGCAGGCAGCAGGTTGGAGTATGGTCTGGGCAGATTTGTGGGAGGGAAGTGCGATGGTGCCGGCCAGCGGGGGAGGTTGCTTAAAGCTGAATGTTGATGCGGCCATTGGGAGGGACCAGTGTGGCCTTGGCTGAGTTATTCGCAACTCGACCGGGGAGTTCATTGCAGCAGCGGCAAACTGAAAGTTGCTGGTTTCCTTGACTGGAGAACTGAAAGTATTTTTAATCTAGTGCAGTTAGCCATGAACTTCCTCCCAGCTTTTTTCCCATGGAGATAGGGTAGGAGCAATGGTGTTCCCTCTACCTGCATGTACTGGATGTAGCAGCATGGAAAGAAGGGCGCTCGGATATGGAGTTTGATTTTTTAAATAATATGTTGTTGTTTAGTTTGCAAAAAAAACTTTCCAACTACGACAGTTCAATAATAGTTCAATATGGGTTATATAGGTGATTTGTTCTTACCTCTCAACACCATAGTATATATATTCATTTCCCTAAGACAAGATTACTTCATTTCAGTCCACTATGTGCATAAAGTTTCAGGATTATGTGCACCAGCTTTTTGTGGGGAAAGTTTGGCATTACTACTACAACACTCATACTACAATGAACACATGCAGTTTCAGGATTATATCTCCAGTGGCCATAAATATATTGCTTCCATATATTCCAAATTATCACACTAGGCAGAATGGACATTTAAATCCAACTAGGATATCAACGAAGTAAAAGAGGATATGAAAAAGTGGAGCAATCATAATGTCTTGAGAATGAAAAAGATGAAACTGAGGGGCCACATGCAAAGAAACAGTGTGTCGAAGTCTTTTTTTATTGCAGAAATTGGAAATTTTATTTACTCATCATAACATACAAACCAGAACTCTCATACAACACACATCCTTTCCGGTATGCACATATATTTCGTACTAATTTAGTATTGTACCAGAACATAACTAAACATAAGATATTAATTAATACAGAGTAATAATAATTATTTAAAGGAAAAAGAAAAAGAAAATGAAGGGCGGCAGATTACTGCTGCCTTGGCGCTTCCCTTAAAAGCATAACTAATGTGTGCTTCCGTTTCTCCTCTTTCTTAAGCACTCATGTATGATGAAGGCAAGCTCCAGTGACTGAGAGGCATTCAGCCGGGGGTCACAGTGTGTGTGGTAGCGAGAACTCAGATCATCAAATGTCACGGTCCGTGATCCACCACCACCGAAGCACTCTGTCACGTTCTGCCCTGTCATCTCTAAGTGCACCCCATTTGGGTTGCTTCCTTCTTGCTCATGAACATAGAAGAATGCTCTCACTTCCTCCCTGATAGCATCAAAGGATCGAGTCTCAAGAAGGCATGGAGCTTTAATGGTGTTGCCATGCATTGGATCTGAAACCCATGTGACAATTTGACACGTTCATCGCACGGACCTAATTAAATGAGGAAGCTTGACCCTCATGTTTTCTACTCACATGTCTTGATCATCGTCTGTGATATTCACATCTAATACGTGTGCAGTTTTCCTTTTTCCCATATACCTTTTTCTCAATCTCGAGGTGAGCATAAGGATTCACATAGAAGTTGGCAGCAGCAACACTAACAGGATGCAAATCATGCATCATTTCTGAACAAAACTTCACACTTTCTCCCACAGTTTGCACTTGGTTTTCAACATAGTGTGTAGTGTCCTGAAAATATACACAAATCATTTAATGGATTAGCTAAACCATTGTCTGATGTTCTTTGGTTCAAAGGATTTTATGATTCTTAGTAATTAACAATAAAGGCTACCTTTTTTTAAGCTCTTAACAAGCAATTTTGTTAGGCAAATTGATTCACACGCAGAATGCAACTCAAAAGAAAACAGATTTAGTGGAATCATTAAACAGGCATTTCACTGATTGCAAATTTGCAGAGCCCAAAGAAAAACAGATAAAAGAGATATAAATGCTACCAAATATATGTAGGAACTAATTGCACATGAGGAAAGTGTTTCTAAGAAGATTTATATCAGCATGTTCCAAATAAAATTTGAATGATAATTAAGAGACATGGAGTTCTCACAAAGATTAAGATGAAAATGGCAGTAGTAAGTAGTAGGGGAGAGGTGATGAAAAACTAGAAACAGTAAGAAAGAGAAGATAAAAAATAAGAACATTTATGTAAAGTGGAGTAGTAGACAAGTGGTAAACCTTCCCAAAAAGGAATGTGTAACGAATAATAAAAAAGAGATGACAAATATAAAAAATAGACCCACCAAACATGCTCATACAATTTTGAAAAATATAATAGAAGAAAACAAAAAAGTAAAAAATTATGAATATGTTGTTAAAGCTTTAGCTTACCATACTGGACCAGGGTGATTGTGGATACTTAATTAGTGCTCTAGAAACAACCCGTTCATCTGACATCTTGTGTAGCGTACATTTCACATCAACTGATAGATCCATGACCTCATTCAATAGTTAGTTCCTCATCTGAGCTTAGATTGAGATCTACAGACAACTCAGGAAACCTTGGATCGTGTGATTGTGAGATCTTCTTCACTATGCCTAATGCATCAGAAGATGACCCACCAGTGTGTAAAATAATACTGAAAGCAGCTACCACCAATGGATCCCGAGGTCTATCCGACAAGGCTTTGTGGAACGCTAAGATTGCAATCATGTAGACAACACAATCTCATGCTTAGCTAAATTTTTCAGCATGATATGCAAAAGTTGTCAACAGAAATGTCTTCTTACCATAAACAACAGTGGCAAGGCCGATCAGGTGCCAAAAGTTTATCCAGGCAGGAAAACATAGTCTTGAGCATCAAAATAGAGAAAATATATTAAAAAACCAAATAAGCAATACAATACAGAGTCTAAGATATTATCACAATATGTCTATGTAAGCATATAGTATATATATAAAAAACTGGTCATATCCTGTGAGAGGTCTAATGCACATAGCATATCAAAACTATATTGTCTAAATAAGGTGGGAAAGATCAAAACAACACATTTTCAATTACCAGAAGCATGTTAGACCTCTTATCACGCCTTTTAAAACCTTAGGAAACAAAGTAAGCAGCCTGCAAGTTTACAGTTATGACAGATGTGACTATGTAACACTGTTTGATATAAATGTACAGTTAGATAACTAGATTGGCTTTAACAGACTGAGAGGGATGTCCATACTTGCAGTGGTAGAAAAATTTCTAAAATTCCAAACTTCCACAGTTGTCTTAATGATTTTTCTGCAGACCCATACGCCAGCATATAATTCATCTCCATTAGTATTCGTCCCTGCATAATAAGGGACCAAAGGATTTATTAAATAGATAATAATGAAGAAAAAACTGGAGACCACTTGGGATGACTTCTGAAAGGGATAAGAAGCACTTTTCCATATCTGTTGAAATGAAGTAATTTTGCTGAATTAAAAATCGTTTTTTTAATCGTTTTTCGCTGAATTTAAAATTATTGGATAAAACTATTGAACGTTTATCATACCATATATATTACAAACAGATCAAGATTGCTAATTTCTAAGCCAATCAATAGTAAATTTATAAATGAAAAAAATTACCCAAAATGAAGTAAACCCCCCTTGAAAATTAATTTCCCACATCAGTCAATAATCCTCCAACCTTCAAAAGAATATAAAATTAAACAAGTCTGGGAGTTGATTACATACCATCTATATTACAAACAGATAAAGTCTGCTAATTTTTTGCATCAAGTTTGGAGATCAAGTCTGCTAATTTCTTGCATCCAGTTCGGGATTCATTGTCCTCTGATCCTAATTCTCTTGACTTGTTCATAAGATGGGATAAGATGCTCTACGCCCTTTCTCTTCGTCTTCGTCGGCACCTTGTTAAAGAAGAGATTAGAAGATAAAGCCTTTCTCTTTGTCGTCATCTTGATGTTTTAGTTGGTTTCTCATCGGTGGGTTTGATTTTTCGTTTCATCGGTGGTGCCTTAGAAACCAAAACAGGGCGGTGGGTTTGTTGTGTGGAAATAACAGAGGTGTTACGGAGCGTTAAGGATGCTCACGTTAGGGTTAAAATGCAAATAATAAAACCGTTGAGTAAAATGAGTATGGATGCTTATGTGGCTTTCAAGTGTAATCTGATTGGCCAAAAAGTGAAGGCACCGATACATTGATAATTTTTGTAGGTACCGTAGAAGCACCCATATGATAATCCCTTTGTCTCGTAAAACCTGATCAAATTGACTTTGTTAATTACTTCTCTTTCCAGGTTATCGACTTTATCAGTCAACTTTTTTATTAAACATAAATTTTTTGATTTTGCACACTGAATTGTATAAAAGTCAAAATAAGTAATGTCAAAGTTATCTTTTCCAGTTGAATTGGCTAAAGTTATTATAGAAGACTATTTTAGCCATTTTCATATATACTCCCTCCGTCCCGTAGTGAACTTCTCACTTTCCTTTTTTGGATGTCCTAGAAATAAGTTCTCATTTCCTTAAATGACAAGTTAATCTACGTCAAAACAGTGTCAAATAGTCCAAAACAGTATCAAACAGTGTCGAAATAGTGCAAAACAAGGCCAAACAGTGTCGAAACAATGTCAAAACAGTAAAATTTACCCCATGGTAAGTTTATTTCTTTAATATGTGTGTAGGTCAAACTGTGAAGTTCATTGTGGGACGGAGGGAGTATATTTTTATTAATAAAATACTCTGTACATTTAAAATACTTTTTCCTTAATTCAGCTGATTCAACCACTCCAGTCTAGATTCCACAAATTTCGGCAGATTCAAATTCAATCAATTTTAGTGTTTTCAAATAGACTCTATATTTCTAAATTTTGAAAAACCTCTATAAACAACATTTATGATCTTGGTAGAAAAACCATGGTTTTGGAGCGAATTGAAATCTTCAATATAATCCATCTTTGTTCTTGACACTTGATATGACAATTGACAATTGATCGAATGTGAAGACATTTTTCACGAGATATAATCTCGACTTAAAGACTGACCTAGCCTCTTGTTGATTCTCATCGCAAAGCATATCATATCGGGAATTGTTCACTTAGAATGTGAATTGTGCCTCCATATTTCTTCTAGAGGTGATTTTTGCCTCTACCACATGTCCATTATCTATGGAATTACTACCTTTGTCCAGTGATGAGTTGTTTCTTCTCCTGTACTGCTGGGGTGGACCCGGGCCGGGCCAACCGGACCGGAACCAGACCGGACCGCTACTGTGCGGGCCCGGCCCGGCCTGGTGAACTGGTTTCGGGCCCGGTTCGAGCCAACCGGCCTGGTGGGATAGCGGTTCGGGCTCGGGCCCTTCAAAAGGTGAACCGGCCCGGCCGGTTCAGGCCCGAGCTGGGCCAATTTTTTTTTTGAATTTTTTTTTTGATTTTTTTTTAAGTTTTTGGGTTGGGCTGGGTATTTTGGGCCATTTGAGGTGGTTAGGGTTGGTTTGGGGGTGAGGGGGAGGGTTGGGGGTTAACTAGGAAAAGCCAAAAAAAAAAATGAACCGAGGCCCGGCCCGGCCCCGCCCGGACCCGGGGGTTACCCAGGCCGGTTCCGGGCCTCCCCTTCTTGAACCGAGGCCCGGCCGGGCCCAGGCCCGAACCGGGCCCGAACCGGAACCGGTTCATGCCTACTGTACTGGATACTCATCTTCATTAATGGAGGTTGTGGGCCCGAAACATATTGGATAATGTTTTGAATACACATCGCCTATCATGCAATGTGACTTCTTGTTGAAATCTCCGCAAAGGTTGTGTATCATTAAACTTTTTACAACATAATCTTGAAATAGGATTAAGGATTTCAGCAGAGATTTCTGGATCTTGAAATAGGATTAGGAATTTCAGCTGAGATTACCTGACCAATATCATGAACACCTTTCAACTTGTACTCAAAACGCTAAAAAGGGCAATGTGGGCATGTGCGAGGCATCTTTTTCAAATTCAATAGTGTAAATAATTCCATGGTCAAGGAAAAGGATTAGTATGCGTTTTTTAACCCGGTAGGCAAATCATCCAACGTTGGAGCGAATGCCGGAGAACATTTACTGTATTTCATTAAAAAGATGAATAAAAGTTACAAATGAAGAGGGGCACTATACCAGGATCTCCCCAAAAGCGGCATGTCTTTCCAAATAAATATTGAGAACATAAGATAAAGTATAAGAATAACAAAATTTTGGGGGACCAAAACTAACCCATATTAAGTATATTTGAAAAAAGGATACCCATAATGGATCTTCTAATTGAAGCTGGTAAATTAGACAGTGACAAAAAAACTTCTCTAGTTGTGAGGTATTTTCTTCAATCATCTTCCATGAATATTAATTACATTCATATTTTATATTTCATATTAATATTTGATCATTACTTAAAGGATCAACTAGTTCTGTTTAATATATTAATTATTACTAGAATCGATCGACGAATACGCTTGTTAATCGTTCGGACCTTTCAACGGTAGTAAATTTTGATTATTAATGCATGCGTCTAATGATTAATAACTTAAGGGAAATTAATTATTAATGCATTGAGTTTCACACAAGGGTTTGAAACTCAATAAAGTGAGTTTCAACCCTGATTACTTCAGGCCCCCCAGGCCCCCTCCCAAGATCCCCTTGGAGTAAAAAGAAAAGAAAAGAAAAACCAATAAATCGTTTGTGTTGAGGTTGTCAATCTCAATTGATTTCATTTTAAGTTTTATTGCTACTATCGGATCAATATAAGGCGCATGTTTTATATTGACTTGATAGTAAAGTTGTTTTTACTTGGACTGTAATTCATCCCAGACCAGACCAGACCATATTTTATTATTATTATTATTTTTATTATTATTATTATTATTATTATTATTATTATTATTATTATTATTATTATTACTACTATCATCATCATCATCATCGCTGTCGTCGTCGTCATCATCATCATCTTCATCATCATCATTATCATTGTCATTGTTATTATTATTAGTATTATTACTATTATTACTATTATTTTTAATTATAAATGAATAAAATATAATTATTTATGGATTATAATATATATATAAAAATAAAATCTTTATGCAAAAAATTTAAAACATAAAATTTCATACTAGACCAGACCATATTTTATTATTATTATTATTATTATTGTTGTTGTTGTTGTTGTTGTTGTCGTCATCATCATCGTCGTCGTCGTCATCATCACCATCATCATCATCATTGTTATTGTTATTATTATTAGTATTATTACTATTATTACTATTATTATTTTTAATTATAAATGAATAAAATATAATTATTTATGGATTATAATATATATAAAAATAAAATCTTTATGCAAAAAATATAAAAAATGAAATTTCACACCAGACCAGACCAGACCAGACCAAAATAGACCAGACCAGACCAGATCAGACCAGCAAATTACAGTCCAAGTAAAAACATCCTAAGTTTTATTAATGAACGCGACTCATTATTAATAACTACCATCGATGAATTGGAAATTCATCACGACTGAGTATTCAATAGGGAGATAGTTAAAGATATAATCGGGATCGATGAACATTTCATTAAGGGAAAATAAGCAAAACCAAGTCTCCATTTATATTAATTAAATCTAAACCACATAAGTCGTTCATCTTAGTGTTAATTTAATTAAATCAAATCAATCCTAAAACCCCCCTTTTGATTACAAGTTCCATAAAAGAGAAGTATTCATTTCCCTTTGGATATGAACCTTACTACGCTATACTACAGAATTAGTGCAAGTATTGAATATTATTTTGAGGCACACAATGAGAGTAGTGCCGTCAAATTTGTCGCCGTTGTCGGGAAAAGGAAATCATTTTTTTTATTTTATTTCAGAAAAATAAAAAAAACAATAATTAATAAAAGTATAAAAAGTTCTTTTCTATTTTCTGAGCTTACACGAGCATATGGTAAAAGCCCATTTTATAAACGAGATCATCTACCAATCAAACCCCGAAATAGAACACGCCATCGAGATGTTAGGAAATTTATTTCCACATATCCCCTCGGAGGAATCATCAAACGCTAGCTCTAGCTCTAGCGAATATGGAGATCCCATCAACATGGCTCTAGAAACAAGAACGTTGAGGATGCTCACGGCTCCAAATCTTAATCAACAACCATTATGTATCACCTTCCCTACTCTTGATGAAGGTGCTACATTTGATCTCAAATTGAGGCTCATTCATCTACTTCCTTCCATGGTCTACGAGACGAGCATCCGAACAAACATCTTTCGAGTTTCATATAGTTTGCACTAGTATGAAACTTAATAATGTTACTGAAGAACAGATCAAGATGAGAGTGTTTCTATTCTCATTGAAGGAAAAAACCAAGGATTGCTATTTTACCTTTCCTCGTTAAGTATAGAAACATTGAAGGCAATGAAGAAGTGCTTCCTAGAAAGATTCTACCCCGCCTCTATCTCATCATCTTTTAAAAAAACAAATAAGCAATATTGAGCAAAAGGATGATGAGTCAATATATGAATATTGGGAACGTTTTAAAATGTTATGCGCTAGTTGTCTGTACCATGGATACACGGAGCAAGACCTCATCCTCTACTTGTATGATGGTCTTGCGGATCAAGATAGACGCATGACGAATGCGGCATGTGGAGGGGAGATTGTCAACAAAACCCATTTACAAGCTAGGAGTCTCATCTCGGAGTTAGTCGAACTCTAGGCATAATAATGGCGGTCCTCAATCCGAAGAGTTCTTGTGGCGGAATCTAGCACATCTACTTTGAAAAGTCAAGTCGCAATCTTGACATTACTCATGAAGGAGTTTATCTTAGGATAAAAAACTCAAGAAGTGAAATCATGTGGCATTTGCACATGGCTCGGACATCCAATCGAGTCTTGCCCAACTCTCCAAGAAGAAGAGCAGCGCAAGTCAGCCTTGAGTTTCCAAGGCCACCAACAAAAGAGGTATGAACCAAACTAAAACACTTATAACCTCGGATGGAAAGACCATCCAAATATGAGATATGGGAAGCCTCAACAACAACAAAATCAGCCCTTTCAACAAT